GAGCGGGAATTGCTCTGCTAAATGATTTTGAGCTGTCAGGAAGGTCTGGGAGTGGGGGGTGGGGGATGGAGGGGGGGCACCGCCAGGGAAGAAGGTCAGGTGGCAGGTCCCCGGTGACCTGGTGCTGGGCAGCCAGTTTTGTACCTCCTGTGTCAGTGGCTGTCCTTGGCGAGGCTCAGCTGCTGGCAGTCTGGGAGCAAGAATGACAGAACACACCTCCCTGATACAGAAGTTGTTGGTATGTTCGCAGCCATCTGGGGGCTCAAGGAAAGGGAATGCTCAGACCTGCATGTGGGGGCAGTGGGCGGTGGTAGGAGGGTGCTTTCAGAGGCAAAAGGAAGTGGCCCATCTGAATTGCTCTCCCTCTGCCCCCTCCCTGCCCACCCTCCCTTTTTCTCTTCACAGATAACCAGGCCGAGTCATGCAGTCTTTTCGAGAAAGGTGTGGTTTCCATGGCAAACAACAGACCTACCAGCAGACCTCACAGGAAACATCACGCCTGGAGAATTACAGGCAGCCTAGTCAGGCTGGGCTGAGCTGCGACCGGCAGCGGCTGCTTGCCAAGGACTATTATAACCCCCAGCCTTACTCAGGCTACGAGGGCGGTGGCGCCAGCACGCCCTCCAGCACTGCAGCGGTGGTGGCTGAGAAGTACCATCGAGGCAGCAAGGCCCTGAACGCACAGCAGGCCCTGCAGGGGAGGCCAGCTTTCCCCGGCTATAGCGTGCAGGACAGTGGCCCCTACGCGGGCCGCTACTCTGGGGAGGACAGCCTGCAGGCTTGGGGAGCCCCACAGCCACCACCCCCACAGCCGCAGCCCCTGCCAGGAGGAGTGGGCAAATACGATGAGAACTTGATGAAAAAGACAGCAGTGCCCCCCAGCAGGCAGTACCCAGAGCAGGGTGCCCAGGTGCCCTTCCGGACTCACTCCCTGCATGTCCAGCAGCCACCCCCACCACCACCACAGCAGCTTCCACAGCCCCAGCAGCCCCTGGCGTACCCCAAACTCCAGAGACAGAAACTGCAGAATGACATCGCCTCCCCTCTCCCCTTTCCCCAAGGTGGCCACTTCCCCCAGCACTCCCAGTCCTTCCCCACCTCCTCTACCTACTCTTCATCTGGCCAGGGCGGAGGGCAGGGAGCCCACACCTATAAGAGCTGCACAGCGCCATCTGCCCAGCCCCACGACAGGACACTGACAGCCAATGCTAGCCTGGCCCCAGGGCAGCGGGTCCAGAACCTTCATACCTATCAGTCAGGCCGACTCAGCTATGACCAGCAGCAGCAGCAGGCCCTTCAGAGCCGGCACCATGCCCAGGAAACCCTGCATTACCAGAACCTCGCCAAGTATCAGCACTACGGACAGCAAGGCCAGGGCTACTGCCCACCAGACGCAGCCGTCAGGACCCCGGAACAGTACTATCAGACCTTCAGCCCTGGCTCCGGCCACTCACCCGCACGCTCCGTGGGCCGCTCTCCTTCCTACAGCTCCACGCCGTCGCCGCTGATGCCAAACCTGGAGAACTTCCCCTACAGCCAGCAGCCGCTCAGCGCAGGAGCCTTCCCCACCGGGATTGCCGACCATAGCCACTTTATGCCCCTGCTCAACCCCTCCCCGACAGACGCCACCAGCTCTGTGGATGCCCAGGCTGGCAACTGCAAGGTCCTACAGAAAGACAAGCTGCCCGAGAATCTGCTGTCAGACCTGAGCCTGCAGAGCCTCACGGCACTGACGTCGCAGGTGGAGAACATCTCCAACACCGTTCAGCAGTTGCTACTCTCCAAGGCTGCTGTGCCACAGAAGAAAGGTGTCAAGAACCTTGTGTCCAGGACACCAGAGCAGCACAAAAGCCAGCACTGCAGCCCGGAAGGCAGCGGCTACTCTGCTGAGCCAGCAGGCACACCGCTGTCGGAGCCTCTGAGCAGCACGCCACAGTCAACGCACGCCGAGCCTCAGGAGGCTGACTACCTGAGTGGCTCAGAGGACCCACTGGAGCGCAGCTTCCTCTACTGCAGCCAGGCCCGCGGCAGCCCTGCCAGGGTCAATAGCAACTCCAAGGCCAAGCCTGAGTCTGTGTCCACCTGTTCTGTGACCTCTCCCGACGACATGTCCACAAAATCCGATGACTCCTTCCAGAGCCTGCACAGTAGTCTGCCGCTCGACAGCTTCTCCAAGTTCGTGGCAGGTGAGCGGGACTGCCCACGGCTGCTGCTCAGCGCTCTGGCCCAGGAGGACCTGGCCTCCGAGATCTTGGGACTGCAGGAAGCCATTGGTGAGAAGGCTGACAAGGCCTGGGCTGAGGCATCTGGTCTCACCAAGGATGCCAGCAAGCAGCCTTTTCCTCTGGAGAACCACAGCGCCTGCCTGGACCCTGTGGCCAAGAGTTCGTGGCCAAGGCCTGGAGAGCCAGAGGCCCTACCTGACTCCTTACAGCTGGACAAGGGTGGCAATGCCAAGGACTTCAGCCCAGGGCTGTTTGAAGACCCTTCTGTGGCCTTTGCCACCCCCGACCCCAAGAAGACAACTGGCCCACTCTCCTTTGGCACCAAGCCCACCCTCCGTGCTGCTGCTCCAGAACCCACCACAGCCGCTTTTGACTGCTTCCCAGACACAACTGCCACCAGCTCAGCAGACAGTGCCAACCCCTTTGCCTGGCCAGAGGAGAACCTGGGGGATGCTTGTCCCCGGTGGGGATTGCATCCCAGTGAGCTCACCAAGGGCCTGGAGCAGGGGGGGAAGGCTTCAGATGGTGTTGGCAAAGGGGATGCCCACGAGGCCTCTGCCTGTCTGGACTTCCAGGAGGAGGAGGCCCCTGGGGAGAAGGTGGCCTCATTGCCTGGGGACTTCAAGCAGGAGGAGGCAGGTGGGGTGAAGGAGGAGTCAGGCGGGCTGCTACAGTGCCCTGAGGTGAGCAAGGACCGGTGGCTGGAGGACAGCCGGCACTGCTGCTCTGCCACCGACTTTGGGGACCTCCCACTGCTGCCGCCCACTGGCAGAAAGGAAGACCTGGAGGCTGAGGAGGAGTACTCGTCCCTGTGTGAGCTCCTAGGCAGCCCAGAGCAGAGGCCCAGCATGCAGGACCCGCTGTCGCCGAAGGCCCCGCTCATCTGCACCAAGGAGGAAGTGGAGGAGGTACTGGACTCCAAGCCTGGCTGGGGTTCCCCGTGCCACCTCTCTGGGGAGTCTGTAATCTTGCTGGGTCCTACTGTGGGCACTGAGTCGAAGGTCCAGAGCTGGTTTGAGTCCTCTCTGTCCCACATGAAACCAGGTGAAGATGGGCCGGATGGAGAGCGGGCCCCAGGGGATTCCTCCACCTCTGACACCTCTCTGGCTCCGAAGCTGAGCAAGCCTGCTGTGCCTGAGGCACCTATCGCTAAGAAAGAGCCTGTGCCTCGGGGCAAAAGCCTGAGGAGCCGGCGGGTGCACCGGGGGCTTCCTGAGGCTGAGGACTCCCCATGCAGGGCACCCGCACTGCCCAAAGACCTCTTGCTCCCTGAATCCTGTGCAGGCCCCCCACAGGGACAGATGGAAGGAGCTGGGGCCCCGAGCAGGGTGGCCTCAGAAGGGCTCCCTCGGATGTGCACCCGCTCCCTCACAGCCCTGAGTGAGCCTCGTACACCTGGGCCTCCGGGACTGACCACCACTCCGGCACCCCCAGACAAAATGGGGGGTAAGCAGCGAGCTGCCTTCAAGTCAGGTAAGCGTGTGGGTAAGCCTTCACCCAAGGCTGCATCTAGCCCTAGCAACCCGGCCGCCCTGCCCGTGGCCTCTGAAAGCAGCCCTATGGGCTCCAAGACCAAGGACATGGACTCACCCAACATGCACAGCAAGGACCAGCGCTCCATGATTCTTCGGTCCCGCACCAAACCCCAGGAGGTCTTCTACTCCAAGCGACGGCGGCCCTCAGAGAGCCGGCTTCCCAACTGCCGGGCCACCAAGAAGCTCCTTGCCAACAACCACCTGGCTGCCACATACAAGATCTCCAGCAGCCCCCAGAAGGAAGGCAGGGTGAGCCAGCGGGTAAGGGTCCCCAAGCTCAGTGCAGGTGGCAATCTTTCTGACCGGCCCCTCCATGCGCTGAAAAGGAAGTCTGCCTTCATGGCCCCTGTCCCCACCAAGAAGCAGAACCTGGTGTTACGGAGCCGCAGTAGCAGCAGCAGCAACGCCAGTGGCAATGGCGGTGAGGGGAAAGAGGAGAGGCCTGAAGGCTCCCCCGCCCTCTTCAAGCGGATGTCTTCTCCCAAGAAAGCTAAGCTCACCAAGGGCAGCAACGAGCCCACTGTGAAGCCCCCAGCCCCAGAGACCCCTGACACCTGCATCAAGCTCACCTCTCGGGCGGCCTTCCAGGGAGCCATGAAGACTAAGGTCCTGCCTCCGCGGAAAGGCCGGGGCCTGAAGCTGGAAGCCATCGTACAGAAGATCACCTCTCCCAGCCTGAAGAAGTTCGCGTGCAAGGCACCCGGGGCCTCCCCTAGTAATTCTCTGAGCCCATCCCTCCATGAGAAGGACCGTGGTCTCAAGGGTACAGGGGGCAGCCCAGTGGGGGCAGAAGAAGGTCTTTTAAACATGGGCACTGGGCAGAAGCTCCCAGCGGCTTCAGGGGCCGACCCGTTATGCAGGAATCCGGCCAATAGATCCTTAAAAGGCAAACTAATGAACAGTAAGAAACTGTCCTCAACTGACTGTTTCAAAATTGAGGTCTTCACATCCCCGGAGGCTCTGCTGCCTGCGGGGACTGCCCTGGCACCTAAGAAGAGAAGCCGGAAAGGCCAAACTGGAGCCCTCGGACTCTGCAAAAGCCAATTGGAGAAGCGGCCCTATCTTGGCCCGTCTTTGGTCCTGACTCCCAGAGACAGGGCCAATAGCATGCAGGGGGTCAGTGAGGACAACTCTGGTGGAGGAGGCAAGAAGCCAAAGATGGAGGAGCTGGGCCTGGCCTCCCAGTCCTCTAATGGCCGGCCCTGCCAGCCCCAGACAAGGGCACAGAAGCAGCCAGGCCACACCAACTATAGCAGCTATTCCAAGCGGAAGCGCCTCACTCGGGGCCGTGCCAAGAACAACACCTCTTCACCCTGCAAGGCACGTACCAAGCGGCGCCGGCAACAGCAGATGCTGCCTCTGGATCCTGCAGAACCTGAAATCCGCCTCAAATATATTTCCTCTTGCAAGCGGCTGAGGGCAGACAGTCGGACCCCAGCCTTCTCTCCCTTTGTGCGGGTGGAGAAGCGAGATGCGTTCACCACTATATGCACTGTTGTCAACTCCCCTGGGGACGAGCCCAAACCCCACAGGAAGCCTGCCTTCTCTGCCTCCTCCGCCTCTTCCTCATCCTCATTCTCCCTGGACGCAGCCGGGGCCTCCCTGGCCACACTCCCTGGAGGCTCCGTCATGCAACCACGGCCCTCCCTGCCCCTCTCCTCCACAATGCACCTGGGGCCTGTGGTTTCCAAGGCCCTGAGTACCTCTTGCCTTGTTTGCTGCCTCTGCCAAAACCCGGCCAACTTCAAGGACCTCGGTGACCTTTGTGGTCCTTACTATCCTGAACACTGCCTCCCCAAAAAGAAGCCAAAACTCAAGGAGAAGGTGCGACCAGAAGGCACCTGTGAGGAGGCCTCCCTGCCCCTTGAGAGAACACTCAAAGGCCTTGAGTGCGCAGCTGCTGCTGCCCCTGGGAAGCCTTCACGGCCTGACGGCCCAGCCGACCCGGCCAAGCAGGGCTCCCTGCGCACCAGTGCCCGGGGCCTGTCCCGGAGGCTGCAGAGTTGTTACTGCTGTGACGGTCGGGGGGACGGGGGTGAGGAGGTAGCCCCAGCTGACAAGAGCCGCAAGCATGAGTGCAGCAAGGAGGCCCCAGCGGAGCCTGGTGGGGACACCCAGGAGCACTGGGTGCACGAGGCCTGCGCTGTGTGGACCAGCGGGGTCTACCTGGTGGCCGGAAAGCTCTTTGGGCTGCAGGAGGCCATGAAGGTGGCCATAGACATGGTAAGAGGTCAGCCCTGCGGGGTGGGGATGTGGGATTCCAGAGGACAGGCAGGCAGCAAGGAGCCCCTTAGCTTTTTGCTGCTACAGTGTAGGCCAGATATGCCCTAAGTCTCAGAGCATGACTGAGACATGACTCTGTGGCTCCAGAGGGGACTCTGTGGGGAGTTAAGGCACTCCTCAGGCTACAGCAAGACATGCTCACCCACCTTGCCCTGGGGGACTTGCCCTACACCCTGCCAGGGCCAACCCACACTCATCCTGACACCTTCCAGCTCCAGCCCTCCTAGAGCCCATTGCCTTCCCCCACTCCGAGCTGTCAGCTGAGATGCTACAGCCTAGAGGACACAGACTTCCAAGAACCAACTGTCAGGGGGCCCAGGCAGCCTGCAAAAGTAAACTTCCCACCCCTGCCCCTGTGCCCTATACTGCTAGGATGGAGCTGGGGCTTAGGGGGAGATCCTCTCAAGCATTTTTTTTTTTTTTTGAGACAGAGTCTCACTCTGTTGCCCTGGGTAGAGTGCCATGGCATTGTCAAAGCTCACAGTACTTCAAACTCTTGAGCTCAAGCGATCCTCCTATCTCATCCTCCCAAGTAATGGATTACAGGTGTAAGACACTGTGCTGGCCCCTATCAAGCTGTTTAACACATCATTGGGACAAGGGACCCAGGCACAGGGTCCTCCCCTCTGCAACACTGCACAGGTCACGTGGCCACAACAGGCAGGGCAGGGCAGAGTGGCCCCGCAACCTCTGACTATTCATCTGAAACCAAATAGAAGCAAGGTCCAGTCACCAAGGGAGCATCTGTGAGCAAGAACTCTGGGCCTGCCTCACGTGCACAATGTGACTCTGTGCCGCTGTTACCTCCCCCTGGCACAGGTGTAAGAGTTCCTACCCTGGAGGGGTCATAAGGGTGAAATGAGTTAATACCGGTAAAGTTGTCAGAGCCCTCAGCCAAGATTGAGTGCTCTGTATTTGGTAATGGGACTAGGACCAGTGGAGTGAGTCCTCCTCAGCAGTGTCACCACCTCAGGTACTGTGGGCCTTTCATAGGAGCCCATGAGGCAGCCTTTCAGTTGCTTGGTCCCCACCTGCCTGGTGGCAGTCAGGCCCTGTGCAGGGGACCAGCCTCCCCCTGGGGCCTGTCCTCCACCCCTCACACTTGGTCCCCATCTTCCCCCGTCCAGGCTTCCATGGAATGGCGCTCTCCAGTGCTGTGCAGGGGTGGCAGCTCTCCCCCTGGGCACCTTACCAGCTGGCCCTCCATAGTCCCCGCCCCATCCCACTTCCTCCACTTCCCCCTGCCCTCACCTGCCCCCAACATCTGGCTGCAGTGTCACCCTGCACAGCCACATTCCTGGGACTGTTGTGGACGTAGCCCATGCCTCCTGTTTCCCATGCCCTGGCCTCCTAGTGCCCATGGAGGTGGCTGGAGACTCGTCCAAGCCCAGGTGTCTTCCCTCTTGCTTGCTCCCAGGTGTAGGCGGCTCACTCCTTATTGAGGAAGGCCCAGCCCAGCAGGATGCCTGCAGCTTCCCAGTGGCTGGAATTGCTGGTGGCCTCACTGGCCCTGCATTGCCCTCTCCCCATCCTAATTATATTTTCCTCCCTCCTGCTTTCCCTGCTTTCTTGTCTCTTGTCACTGGCTTCTTCCCAGTGCCTTGAAATAGGCTCAAGTCTCCCCCTGTCATTAAAAAATAATAATAACCTTCAGATGGCTAGTCCCAGCTGGCTGCCACCTCCCCTGCCTCAAAGTGTTGTCCACACTTGGCCTGGCCCAGGGGCTGCCTCCACACTCCCTGACACATGTCCGCTGCAGCCAGCACTGCCTGGCCTGAGCCAGGGAACACTGAACCCCACATACACTCAGTGTGCTGGTGGGCTGAGGTGAAAGTGCACATCCGAGAGGCACACAGCTGCAGCTGGCACTCAGACACCCAGGCAGCCCTTCAGCTGTGCCCTGCTCCAGAAGAGGCCTGGCCCGCCACTGCGGGAGTGCCCTGTGCAGGTCAGAGCTGGGAGGCTGTACTCCAGCAGGTGTTTGCTGGTCACCTGCCAGAGAATATAACAGCTTAGCAAGATGGGTAGAGTCTAGAGCTTCCCAGACTGGAGAGGGGCCCTCAGGGTCACAGTTCAGTCCACCACCCCTTCCTGCCTCAGTAGCACCATGCTTTTATAGAGTCACAAAGACCCTAGTTCAAACCCCCCCACTCTGCTGAGCGCCTATTTGTGACTCCAGGCAGGTCACCGTCTGTGACCCCTATGACCAAAGCCCAGGTAGCAGGACTATGGGGTTACAAGATCTGCCTGGGTCATGGGAGGTGGGGATCATTGTGCAGCTGGGGCCCTGGCCACTTATACCCTTAATCCTGCAGCACTTGGGTCTCACTTTGGGTCACCTGAAGGCCCAGGGACACCCCTCCTCCTTTAGCCAGCCCCTCCTGCAGTCCCTCACAGTATCTGCTGTCTGTGAAGCCTTCTCTCTCCTGAGGCCTCCATTTCCAAGTCTGCCTGGAGTCACCCCCCTCCCAAACTGTCATAAGACCCCAGCTCCTATCCAGATGAGGCTTTAGGATAAAGAGTTGACCCACCACTGAGCTGGACATTGTTGGGCTTGGTGGTATCTGCTGGGGTCCTGGTTTGGTCCACTTGGCAGCCTGGGGTCCTATGGCAGAGTCCTAGGCTGCTCCCACTCCTTGCCCCATGAGGATTGCTGGATAAGAAGGGCCTGAGGCCTTCCACACTCTCTACCTCTCTTCATGTCTAAAATGACCATTCAAATGCCTGCCTTGAGGGTGGTTGGGGGCTTCAGTGAAGGTGAAATAGAGAGAAGCCATTAGCTAGATGGGGCCCTGTTACCCTATCACCCAGTGCGGTAGTATCATCATAGCTCACTGCAGCCTCCAACTGCTGGGCTCAAACTATCCTTCTGCCTCAGACTTCCAAAGTGCTGGGACTACAGGCCTGTGCCAGCTTCAACCCTTTAAATATTAAAACACTCTAAGGTGACCAGGTTCCTGTATGCCTAGCACTCTGGGAGGTTGAGGCAGGAGGATTGCTTGAGCTCAGGAGTTGGAGATCAGCCTGAACAAGAAAAAAACTTCATCTCTACAAAAAATAGAAAAATCAGCCGGGCATTGTGGCAAGTGCCTATAGTCCCAGCTACTTGGGAGGTTGAGGCAGAAGGATTTGCTTGAGACCAGGAGTTGGCGGTTGCTGTGAGCTAGGATCATACCTCTGCACTCCACCCTGGGTGACAGAGTGAGACCCTGTCTCAAAAAAAAAGAAAAATAACAAACCCCTCTAAGAGACACTGTGGACAGGAGACATAGGCCTGTTCTGGGTCAGGAATTGAGATGTTAGGTGCTGAGATCTCCAGGAGGCTATACCAGACCAGCCTGGAAGGAAGTGTCAGCCCTGAGCAGAAGCAGCTAAAAACCTGATACTCTGAACATACTGCAGGCCCCCGTTTGCACCTCCCTGCTCCCAGTTCATTTCTCAGCTAGGCTGAGTGGGTTGGGGGGAGGCTTTCTCATCCTGCCTGCCCCTGGACTGTGAGGGTAGGACGGAGCCTCTGCCCTAGCAGTGCAGTGGTAGCAGCATGCATCACTGCCAGAACAAGGCTTCCAGCCATGCCTGCCATACAGTGAGCCTAGTACCTGAGCACAGCCCACCACCCTCTCTGAGACACCCGGCGCCTCATCCCCCACTGACTAGGTGGTGCTGTGGTTCTGGAGTCCAGGTGGCTTTGGTCCCTTCCCTGTCCTGTCTCAGCCTCATCTCTTCCAAGCACTGGGCCAGGCACAGGGTGCAGGGCAGCTCCAGTCCAGCAGATGACATAGATCTCCCTCTCTCTTTCTCTCTCTCTCTTTGTGAGACAGTCTTACTCTTTTGCCCAGGCCAGAGTACAGTGGCATCATCACAGCTCACATCAACTTAGACTCCTGGGCTTGAGTGATCCTCTTGCCTCATCCTCCTAGAGTGCTAGGGTTACAGGCACAGACCACTGTGCCTGGCCAGATGACATTTGTGAGACCTGGAGGAGGCCAGGCACCATGCAGGTTTACATTAAATCTGCATCTCAGGGTTGACACATCACCTCCTCTTACAGATCTGAAACTTGGTCCTAGGAAGGGGAAAACACTTTTGATTCTAGGTTCTGTCTTCTACCAAAAAGGGCAGGAAACAACGCTTATTGCTTTCACCCTTACCTGGACTGGCAGCCTCAGTTTCACCACCTGTAAAGTGGGGTTAATGAAAGTTACCCACCTTCAGGGCTGTTTAGAAGAAGCCAGTGGACAAGGACATGCCACGCCCAGAGCCCAGGAAGCACTGAGCAAGTGCTGGCTAGCAGCCACAGCCGTGGTGGTGACAGTACCACTGGCCCAAGAGGGGCCCTGGGCCAATGTGGAGCCTCCTTCCAGCAGATTTTCAGGGACCATTTTGGAAGAAGGGGGAAGAAGCCATGGAAGGGGCTGTCTGTGAAGCTTGAGGGCTGGGCTGCAGCCGAGGTTCACCTGCCTCCATCTCTCTTCATCAGACATGTTCCAGTTGTCAGGAATCCGGGGCCACCATCGGGTGCTGCCACAAAGGATGTGTCCACACTTACCATTACCCGTGTGCCAGTGATGCAGGTAAGAACAGGAGGCCTGTCTGTGCAGTCCAGGGTGGGGGGTGGTGGCAGGCACAGCTCACCAAGCCCAGGTCCCATTTGACCACCTGGCTCCCTCTCTTGCTGTAGCAGCTCTTAATCTATCTCTACCTAGACCTGTAATGGGCAGTGCCAAGGACGTGGGCAGGAAGCTGTCCTCGCCTCCTGCTTGAGGAATGCCCAGAGCAATGAGGGGACAGGCATTGATTACGGGACAGAGAGTTCTTTGAGGATGTATTGTGGCCAAGGGGTGGGGAAGATTTCTGTCTTTGAGGAAAGGGGTACTGGGTCTGGCCTTTGAAGGATGAATAGGAGCTCACTGAGTAGTGCAAAAGTATAACAGAAACTGAATGAGTAGGGAGAAGATGAGGTTCAGCGTGAGACTGAGGCCGATCATCTCCTGTTGGCTATGGGGACCAGTTGGGGCTTTTCAGCAGGGTGACAAGGTCTGCAAGCAGAACCAGGCTTTTCTAAACCCCCTCTATTGTTCCCTCTCATACATTGATTTATTCCATGGTCATTTCTGGACTTCCTATTACCAGGCACACAGAACGAGAAACCCAGTGGGCCACAGAGTCCTGGGAGCCCCAGCCCTCACTGAACTGGTAGGGACCGTGAACCTCAGAGGTGTTCCTTACTTCATCCAAAGAAAGCAGTTGGTGACAACAATCTTTTAGGACACTTAGTACCAGCTTTGGTCTGGACACATGGTGTTGGGCAAGGCCATTGCCATCTCTGTGCTCCCCACCTGTGAAATGGAGATTCTAAAGTCCCTTTCTGGAGTTGTCTGGAGCAAGCAGTGCAGCCCCGGTCCTGTCTTGGCCCAGCCCCCTGCCCTCTGCCCCTCTCTGCCGTCACCCCTCCCTTCTCTGGCCTGAAAAGGGTGAAGTCACCACAGCCAGCCTCATAGTGATAGCACAGGCACCTGGGGCCTGCACTGTCCTCCCAGAAGACTCTCCTGCCACCACCCCTCCATGCCCTGCTGGCTCTGCCTGCCCACTGTGTCCTTGGCCAGGGCTGAACTGCCACCACCCCGGAGGGAGGGGGTTCACTGTATTGGAGACACGGGAGTTTCTTGCTGGTTCCTCCCTCCCACTTGGCGCATCATGAACCAGATTTTAATGTGGACTCAGGCAGTCACCTAGACATACAGCCTCACTCCCCATAATAGCTATGGGAGTCACAGTCCTCCTTCCACAGCAACTAATTTAGTTTAGTGTGTGCTCTGTGCCTGACCATGCAGCAGTCTCCTGTGCCATCTCCAGTTGCTTTTTTTTTTTAGATAGTATCTCTATTGCCCTGTGTAGAGTGCTGTGGCATCATAGCTCACAGCAACCTCAAACTCCTGGATTCAAGCGATCCTCCTATCTCAGCCTCCCAAGTAGCTGGGAGTACAGGTGCCCACCACAATGCATAGCTCGTTTTTCTACTTTTAGTAGAAATGGGGTCTTACTCTTGTTCAGGCCGGTCTTGAATTCCTGAGCTCAAGCAATCCACCTGCCATGGCCACCCCAAATGAAATCTCAGGATTTCCTATAAAACAAGGATCTCTGTAGAGCCTCCTGGACTGAGGCAAGAAGGCTGGGACACAGACCTGGTCAGGGCTGACAGACTGCTGCAAGAATCCAGACAGGAAAGGGCAGGTGCCTGGTACTGATAGAGCCACACACCCCAGAGGCTGAGTTGACATACAGTCCACAGGACATGGTATAAGGGACAAGGAACAGGAAACCGTCAAGGCTGTCATCACCCCCCATGTTGGGGGAGGAGTAGAGAGGAGATGCACAGGTAGAGTATCTCAGCTACTACTGCGTAGCTACTGCTTAAACACCAACCCACCATATTTTCACCAGGGCACAAGTCAGCTGGGCAGGCTCTGCTAGGGTCAGATTGATCTAGGGTGGCTCTGGCAGGACCAGCTCCTTTCTGCTCCATGTGGTGTGCCATCTGTCAGCAGGCTAGCTAGGTACATCCTCATGGTGGCAGCAGGTCTTTGAGAGAGGGAGGTTGTAGAACCCCTCTTGGCTTAGGCTCTGAAGCTCACCATGTTCTGTTGGCCAAAGCCAAGTCCTAAGTCCCGCCGATATTCACAGGGTGGGGATGCATGGCACCCCTCCATGGAGACATGCTCATAATCACTGCAGAGGACCTGGGTACAGGGATGGGGACAGGAGCAGTTGTGGCATTCCATCCACCATGCATTCAGTCTGCTTTGCCAGGTTGCATTGGAGGCATCTATAGATGTCCAAGCTGTTAAGACACAGCTGGGCTCAGGACAGACACTTGCTGACTATCAGCAGACAATGTAGTGGGATGGGTGGACACTGCCCTGAAACAGCTAGCCGAGGAGAGGGGGCCCGTGGGAAACTGAGGCTCAGCAGGTACAGAAGATGAGGGAGCACATGTGAGCCTTACAGCTAGGGAGGACAGGGTTTGAGGACACAGAGAGGGCCGGTGAGGTGACTCTGGCCAGTCCGAAGGGACTGGGAAGTGAAAGGGCACTGAAGGGTGAGCTGGATAGGTAGGAGGCCAGGCTTTGTCAGTACCTCACAACCCCAACAGCTGGGTCTGTTAGGTGGGAGCTCTGCAGATGTCTGGATCAGGCTGCATGGCCCCCTAACCCTCCCTCTCTCAGTCCTTACTGAGGAACCCACTGTGAAGACAAGTAGTGACTCTGAAGAGCAGGCAGAGGCTGTCATACCCTGGCATCCTGGCTGAGCGTTTTCCACATTTGGGACCTGTGGGCTGCTTTGTCAACTAGCTAGGAGTTTCCTTAGATGCAGACAGACACTGGAGAGAGGCTCTACCCAGTGACTCCCCTCCCCAGCCTGGGGTGACTCAGCTGCAAGCCCACCCTTTGTGGGAATGCCCTTGGCAAGAGTACCTGTGGTTGACCCAGAGCGGTGAGCCTAAGGCTTTAGCCTTGTGCTTTTTGGAAAGCCTGGTTCAGTCCCAGAACAGTGTCTGGCCTGAGCAGAGAGAAGGGGAATAGCTGATGCCCACCTAATGGAAACCAATATGGGCAGTTTGCAGGTCTGAGGCACCCACAGCTTCTGGCACAAGACAGGCTAAGTCTGCCCCTGCCCATCCACCTTGTTTGCTGTCCACCACCTGTCATGGTGGCCACCCCAAGGAGCCCCAATATGAGCAGGAAGAATGTGCTGGGGGCACAGCACTCCCTTGGCCTTTGCAGCCTCCTGGCTTTTTATAGGTTTGGGGAAGCCAGGGCCTCCCTAGGTGGCCAGCAAGGAAGCAGGGACTCACTGGACAGCAGCACAGACACAGGGGTGGCCATGCTCTGCTCTCCTCTCTGTCCCCTCAGCAGTCACAGTGCTCTGGTACCCATACACTTGGAGGGATTCGCTCAGACCTGAGACCTCTGTGTCCCCTCCTCTCCCTGCCCCCCAGAAAAACAAGCCCTTGAATCCTGAGCACCTGCTCTGTGCCACAGTGTGAGGCCCCATGATAGGTACCCAGGCTTAGGAAGTTATCTGATGCTCAGATTCAGGACTGTGATTCTGCTACCCAGTATGTCTACAGGCACCAGGAGCAAGTGGTCCATACCTAGCCAGGTGGGGCTTTCATAGCAGGTGTCAACCAGAATGGGGTGGGGGAGGGCTTAGCTAGAGAGTCAGGGGGAGGCCTCAGGGGACAGGGGGACAAGTCCATGTGGCACTGGGTGAAGAGTTACTTGTGGAGGAGGGGAGGGGTGGCGGCTGTGATTTTGTTAGGTTTTAAGCAGGATGGGATTTCGTCTGAGACCCAGCCCTGCTGCTGTGAGACCACCCTGTCCTAAGCACTGCAACTTCTTTTGGTCACAGGTTGCATATTCATCGAAGAGAACTTTTCTTTGAAATGTCCCAAACATAAGGTAGGTGACCACAGTCATCTCTGGGAGTGGGGTTGGGCAGGAGAGGAACCCCCTTCTGCTGGACCCCCAGTGGGCCCCCCAGGATCCCTGCCCACAGCCTTGGGGCTGGTGGGCACATGGCGGGTCCTCAGGGAGGGGACAACGGGGGGAGGGGAGGGACAATCCCCGGAACAGCCTCCCTGCAACTCCCCCTAGGTAGGGGACAAGAGGGCAGGCAGGGGTAGTAAGGTACAGTGCGCAGGAAGGTGGAGGTTGACAGGCTGGGGCCTCCTGCAGAAAGAGACCTCAGCGTCTGGGTAGGGATGGGGTGGGGACGCGTCAAGGGCGGGGCCTATGGCGTGGGACGACCCTCAGTAAGCGGCCTTTGTTGCAGAGATTGCCGTTGTAATGCACCCCAACGTCCAGGGGAAGCCGCTGGAGTCCGTCTGCCGCCGCTGAGAGAGAGGAGCCGCCGACGCAGCCCCCGAGCCTTGGAGCTGCTCCCAGCGGGGGCCCAGAGCCGATCCTTGATCTGGGCTCCGGATCCTGGATCCGGCCGCCAAGGGCTCGTACCGGCGGCCCCGGGTTGGGAAGAAAACCCGTTCCGGAGCCGCCTGCTCCCGGAACCGGACGGCACAGGGTGTTCTCACCCACACCCCAGGGGCCAGGCTTGGAGAGGGGAACCCGCAGAGCGGCCAGACTCCATGGGGCGCTCAGCTTACGGTGGGGGTGGGAGCCGCTGTGACCTGGGAACGCTTTACCCCGGGAAGTTCAAGACCGTGGCGCACATTCCACCGGGCGCTGCTACCACCCCAGTCGGTCGTGGCATACAGCTGGGCGCCCTAAGGGTGGAGGTGGGGCCCGGACGGCCCTGGAAGAAGCCGAGGGTGGCTCCTGGCTCCGTGAACAAGGCGGGGTTAAACGAAGTCTTTCTGGAGAGGGCTGGGCCGGCGGCAGAGGGAGCCGGAGGCTTTGGAACAGACCTTCCCGAGCGCGTCCAGGCGCCCGAAGCTCTCGTTCGGCTGGAGCAAAGCTTAGGGTTGTCCTGGGCCTCTGCTCAGGGGATGCGGGTTCCCCGGTGTGGGCGAAACTGGGACACCTTTTAGCTTTTGTTCGTCCCTTTCCCAGCCCAGCCCACCCCTGGAGCCCAGCCTGGGAGCGCAAAAGGAAAAGATACTCGTCCTGAGCGCATCTCTGGTTGAGCCAGGATTGTCCCTCTGCACCACCAACAGGGACCACAGCGCCCACTTGGTCCAGAAGCAGCAGGGACAGCGCTAGATTTGTGTACAAAACCTGTGTACCCCTCTATATATATGTTACATAGAATGTATATATGTTGGGAACATGCTCGCTTCTCCTGTCGCCGCCATGCGTCCTGCAGCACAGAGCCCCATCTGGGCCTTTGCCAGGGAGGGGGCTACTGCAATGCCTCTTACCCATGCAGCCACCACTGGCCCAGACCAGTCCCCGCCAGTCTGTCTGCCTGTCTGTCCATGTCCTCAGCTCTGTCCACGCTTCAATAGGCCTGACGCAGCCCCCAGCCCGGGGCCGCCATAGTAATTTCCTGTATATATGACTGTAAAATGGTAAACGTGTGTATTATATCTGGCCTCGTTATATAGTGTATATATATGTATACATATACATATATATAATATATATGAAGACTGTAAATGTTAAGACGACTAGTGTTCTTATTAGTATATTGCTTCACACTGAAGATTGTGTGTATCGAGCTGTTTCTAAAAGATGTTTATTTTCCTTAAGAGTAAAAAACAGTCATTGCATTCAGAAAAAAAAGTCAATAAAGATACAACGATTGTTTTGGAAAGTCTGCAGCCTGTGGATTCTGACCAGCTTTCCCTGGGAGAGCACCCAGGCTTTAGCTGGGGTGGGCGGGAGTCTGCCCCTTTCTTTAAGGATAGCAACTGCCTGCAGCCAGACTGCCACTCTCATGTGTTCACCAGGGAGGTACAGGCTTCCCCAGCTATGTGAGATAAGCAGGGGACAGGGTGGGGAGGTAGGACACCCAGACATTTAGAGACCTAAGTTGTAGCTCCTGTCACACAGATCCCTGAGGATGCTGAGTCTATCCTCCCCTGTTACCCGGGTCCTGATGGGGACAGAGCTGGAAAGTGAGAAGGCGCAACTGGGCCCATCAAGGCCCCAAGGCTGATCAGCTCAAAGGGTCAGCCAGCCCTTCCAACTAACCCCCAGTGAAGGAGGTAAATGTTTTCTCTTTCTGGTGGGTAGGGGATGGGAAGCCTTTGCCTAGGTGCTAGAGGAAGGCCCAAAGGACTCTGGCTGGTCAGCATGTCCATCAGATGGGGCACACACCTTCCTCTCCAAAGGAACAAAACCTAGATTATAAATAATTTCATTTTATTCTCTGTACAAAACTCAACCTATGAAAATAAAGTTTGCAAAAGGCAAAGTAGTATGTGAGCCTCAGAGGCCAAGAGGCTAGTGCACGCTGATCTAGACTATGTACAAGTCTCCCCAGAACGGGGAGAGGCGCCTTGGGGCAGGACTTCTTTTGCAGGCTGTAAGCTCCCATTGGCCCTCTGGCTTAGTGAAGCATACCCATTCCCCATCTAGACAGGAGGGGAAAAAACACCTAGGTGCCTGCCCACCAAGGAAGTGGAGCAGAGCCAGCTAGCCCCTGCAACCCCCGGGTCGGCCACCAGAGGTCAGCACTGTCCTGGCCACCGCTCACAGGAACCGAGACCAGGCTGGGGTGGTGGGGTCATGCCCCAGGCCTCCCAGACGGAAAGACAAAGGTCCCCAAGGGTTCCCACACGCCAGGAACAATGGAGCCAAGGCTGAACCATGGAGATCAAGGTCTACGGTGCTCCCTTTGGCCTTCAAGGTTCAGACCCAGATCACAGGCCGCTCAGGTCCGAGGCCTGAGAAACAGAAACACAGCGGCCAGGAAAGCCACCAGGAGTCTAGCTGGAGGTGACAGTGGTCCCACCGCCCAAGCGCATGAGCATCTGCTGGCAGTCGTGCAGCAGCCGGCGATCGCCCAGCTTCTCCAGTGTACGTGCCGCTTCAGCCAGCATACCCACACGCTGCCCTGGAGCTGACAGGAAGCCAGGTGGCAGGTAGCAGGAGGCCAACAACAGGGCCTCAGCATGCTCCCGCCGCGTGGGCCGAGGCTCCAACTCCGAAACTACTGCTGGGCCTGTGCAGAGAGGCTATGTCAGCCAGGTCGAAGTCTGGCCACTGCTGCCTAGTGCAGCAGAAGTCAGGGCACTGATGCTTGTATTGTATCTAAGCATATGGGGTTTGCAGTTCCCCCTCTCTCCACAATCTCAGGCACACCCGCGAAGCTTCAGACCCCTCCCTGGAGCCTATCCAGAACATGGACTGAGCCATGCCTGCACAGTGCTGTGTCCCACAAATGACAGTCACCCCCAACCAATTTCTCAAGAAAGGTGTCACCGTCAGGCCACCTGGGCAAGGAAAACATCCCTACATGTGTAGCTGTCCCTTACCTCCTTTGCTGCCCAGGCCTGCCCGGCGTCTCAGACTGCGGTCCAAGAGCTGGTGTGTTCGCGTAGGGCTGGCCCCTGCCATCAACCGGGCAGTGGCCTCATGTAGGAAGACCTGGGTGAGTAGGGCCAAAGAGTCCAGGTTCAGGGCTACACACACACACTGCTTTATGTCCCCAGTGTGAAGCAGAGGGGCCTGCCAGCACTTACCCTCCGCATGGCAGGCCGGAAGCTCTGTGCCAAACGCCTCAAGCCACTCAGGTCTCGCTGGAAGCCACGCAGCTCAAGGGCAGAGGCCTGCATCCCACCATTGGTGCCCTGTGACATCTGGGTGGGTGTGGGAGGTTGCTGCTGCCGCCACAGGCTGGTACGTACCACAAGGAGCAGGTCACATAGGAACAGCTGCACGGCCTGAGGATGGCAGGTGGCTGGGGTCATGGGGGCTCCAGCTCTGGGAGGGGCAGGGTGGGGGGCCACGGTGCCAGGGGCCGGCCCCGGGCTGCACTGCCGAGGCACTGCACCCGCCTCACACACATGCAATGCAACAGCAATGCACCACGGGGGCGCCCGCCTCTCTACTAGGCCCCCACGCCCGCCCACCAGGGGAGCAGCCACCCAGCCCTCTTAATGCTGGTACTCCAAGGAGTCCCTGCACCATCCCCAATTCCACTCCTTCCCCTGGGCGTGGGGAAACTGAGGCCAGATAGGGACAGCCATCCTCCCCTGGACTCAAGCCTTAGCCAAAAAGCAAAGTCAGCTAGCTGCAGTCCTGCAAAGCATAGGCTAGCCCCACAGTCTTCTGCTGCCCCTGAGGGGGAATGACGGGGGAATGGAAAGCCATGATCCCCTCGCCCTGCCAGGCCCCTGACTCCACCCCTTACCTTGTCAATGGAGCTGCCAATTGGGGTGGTGGCCAGGCTGTCCCGCAGGTACCCACTGGCCTTCTCACAGATGGTCAGGCTGGCCGGGGCAGACTCTGCCTTGGCACAGCCCAGCAAGGCCCGTGCAGCCTTGAAGGAGTGCAGAGCTGCCCTGGGCAGGGGTCTCCTGTTGGGTGCAGGGGCAGAGGAGTACACGTCAGACTATGCCACAGGCTGTAACCCCCCACTACCCTGCTTCTGGCTTCCTGGGGGAGAAAGGGTGGTGACTCCACCTCACAGAACAGAGACTGGTGAAAGCACAATGCCAAGGGGCCAGGAAGGGTTGGGCCCAGGGCCATGGCAGAAAAGTCTAGCTGTGTACTCACTCAGACTCCTGCAGGGCACGGGGCAGGTGCTCCACCAGTGGGTACAGTCTCTCAGCTGCCTCCTCATCCCGCCTCAGCCAGTGGATCACCACAGCTGTCAGTGAGGCCCACCACTTGGCCACTGGGTCTGTGCCTGCAGAGGAAGGAAACCGCTAAGCCCTCAGCCACTCTGTGCTCAGGGCTGAGCAGGAGTCCAGGGCAGGGGCCTAGGGTCTCACCCATGTTGGTAGCCATGCTGGAGTTGATGGGGAGGCTGCAGGCAGGAGTGTTAGCAGCATCACAGCAGCTGTTCAGTAGCTGGAGGTACCCAAGGGCATCTGAGAACTCTCTGTTACAGGAAAGACTGGGTGTCAGGCAGATGGCAAGGGTTCTGGAGGGGTGCTGGCCCTCCCCACCCCAACAGCACAGCCTGACCCCCTAGCTCTGCAAAGTGCCACTGTCTCCTCCTGCCAGGCTGGTGGGAAAAATGAGATCCAGAGAGGAACTAAGGACACATAGTGAGTGGACAGCAGCCCAGGCTCTGGCCACCTACACAGGTCCCTAGACATAGCTATTCTTAGACAGACATGCTGAAGTTGTCTTGCCTAAGAGAAGAGCACACAGACACTCACCTGTCCCCATCAGCTGAGCCAGGGCTGGGGCTGGGCTGTGCCATACAGTTCAGTGCTTGCTCCAAGAGATGTTCACGGAATAGCTGAGTCACCTGTGCCAGGGGGTCCACTGTGGGAAGGAGTGGGTGAGTGGGACAGCGATTGGGAACCCCACCCCTCCTCTCCATGTGCACTTCTGTATATTAGGGTTTTTTTCCCCCAGCAGGCTGGTCACACGTAGGGTAGGTCAGAAGTGCTAGCTTGGCTCTGGGAGCATTCCCCACCAAAGACAGAGGGAAGCTGGTAGATAAATACCCAAGCTGCTGCCCAGTAGGATAACAGGGAGACCTGCCCTCACTGCCTCCAAAATGCACCTGCTGGATTAGGTGCTTTTACTGGCTCTGCCCCCTCCCTGTCTCACTTCCTCACTCCCCATCAGTGATGCCTAGGGCCACCGCCCACCTGCCCCGCCTGGAATAGAAGAGGCCTCACCAGCCCTTCCCCTTCTTGCAGCCCCCACAGCAGGGAGATGGACTGGGATGGACAGAGACATCCAGAGACACAAGGGTGAGGGACAGGACAGGGGACAGAGAGGGATGAGAGAGCACCTGTATTTCCAGCCAAGCTGTACAGGCTCTCCCGCGGGGCACTGCGAACAGCCCAGTCCCCATCCACAAAGAAACGGTGGCCCATGGGGTGGCAGAGCCACTGCATGGCAAGAGGCACTGAGCCACTCTGTGCCAGGCAGGCCTGACGTGCGCTGCTGAGGAAGAAACGCTGTGGGGGAAGGAGCTGGGCTGTCACACTGGATTGAGGTGGGGGGCTCAAACCCAAACCTGGCCCCAGGTGGCCTGTAGCCCACCTGGTACCAGCCACCTCATCCTGATAGCCCCTTGCCAGGGACCCTCTGAGAGAACTACAAAGATAAGCCCCTGGCCCTATCCCCACCAGCCCTCCACCAACTCACTGTCAAAAAATGCAAGGACCGTGGGAGACTGGTTTTGACTCTCAGCGCAACTGCCACATAGATCTCTGCCAGTGTTACCACAGACATGGCATCCCCTGCACACTCCGCCAGATTCAGGGCACTCAGTGCCAGGTTGGTGGCAGTGAAATGCCCACCTGTGTACTTTCCTGGAAAGCAGATGGGCATGAGGCTGGGGATGTGCTGAGGTGGAAGGGAGCTCCTGAGGCCCCACTCCATGCCCACTCATACCCATGGTATGCAGCTGGTGCAGCTTATGGTACACAAGGGCCGCATCTCGAGTGCTAGCACGCACATCAGCCTGCAGGGCACAGTCCCTTTGCAGGCCCCCTGCCCGGCCTGCCAGCCAGCGGCCCACCCAGAGACGCTGTAGCAGGTGGCGGATAAGGTTCCAGAGCAGGCTACAGGCCAAGTCCAGGTGGGAAGTGGGCAGGGGCCGTCCCAGTGCCCTCAGGGCCAACCACAGCTGCTGTGTAGCCTGGGCAAAGTCCCCCTGGGGAGGAAGATTTTTTCAGT